TGCCATCTAGTGCTCAAATTGAAAATTTGCTGAAATGGATTAAGTTTCTGGAGAGGTTTTTTTTTTTTTTTTCACAGAACCTTCAGAGACGTAAATCAAGACCTTTCCCTAAGAAAATGGGGAACTCAGTGAATTCTGATACGATCCATACATGTACATTCATTGTGTTTTCTTAGCATGTTACCCCACAGAAAATGTAAAGGGAAAGCTCAACTATTTCTGGAAGTCATTTACTAAACAAGTTGTGTAAAACAGCTACTCTTAACTCGTGATGCTGTAATAATAATTGTGTTGAGAGAGAAGGAATTATTTACCCAACATGCAAAGATACAACCTTAATTTAAAAAAAATAGATATTCTGAATATCAATGAGAAACACTGAGTAAATCATGTCATCGAGCTCAATGGAAAAACAGAAATTCTCAGAGGCTCAAAGAGAGGACCCGATGCAAAAGCCTAGTGGCAAAAGCCTAGTGGTCCTTGCCTTGCACATGCCAGGATCCCATAGGGGCGCTGGTTCTAATCCTGGCTGCTCCATCTTCCATCCTGCTCCCTGCCTATGGCCTGGGAAAGCAGTCGAGAATGGCCCAAAGCCTGCAAAAGCTCCAGATTCCTGGCTTCTCATCAGCTCGGCTCTGGTCCTTGTGGCCACGTGGGGAGTGAACCAGCTTACAGAATATCTTTCCTCTGTCTCTCTTTCTCTTGTAAATCTGACTTTCCACCAACATTAATAAATCTTTTTAAAAGGGGGGGGATGGGGTGAGGGAGAGGTGAGAGGAGGAGGGAACGCCAGGCCTGAAGGCTTTCCTCTGCGAGGGAGTATTTGATGGTGTCAGGGAACTAGACCTTGGTAGTGATGACTGCTGACAATGACCCTTGTTCAGTGTGCAGCCAAAGATGTCTGTGTCAAACTGGAACCTTTAAAACACTATACAAGCAAAATGAAGCAAGGAAGTTAAACCTTAAGCTTGGGTGGAGAAAATAAACTGTACCATTTGGATTCCAGATACAGCCTCTCTTGCATGGGATTTGGGTCAAAAGATTACTTCAAAGTGGTATTGAGAAACTGGAAAAATGGAGTCACTCACATGAGATGGAGCAAGGTTCTAGTGGACAGTGTTTGACGAGGCAAGTGATAAAGAAAAGGCTGGTCTGCAATGTCTGGGACATCTAAGTGGAGACATCACACACAGGTGGATTTGCAGATAGTAAATGAGCCCACAACTTACCCGGAAGACCCTTCACTATCCCAAATTCAAGGAGAGAAGCAGAATCTAGCAGGCAGTCCTAAAAGGAATGGAAGCAGAAAAAATACACAATCACCAGTTGGAAGGCACGAGACTGCCACGTGCACGCAACAGTTGTGAGGCACAATGAGAAGAGACTACATGAAAAACAGCACAAAATACATAAATACTGAGGAATTTATTTATACATTTATTTTGGGAAAGGCAAATGTATAGAGAGAAGGAGAGACAGAGAGAAAGAGCTGCCCTCCATTGGTTCACTCCCCAAAAGGCCACATCAGCCAGAGCTGAGCTGAGCTGAAGTTAGGAACCTGGACTTTTTCCAGGTCTCCCAAGGGGATGCAAAGTCCCAAGGCTTTGGGCCGTCCTCTACTGCTTCCCCAGGCCACAAGCAGGGAGCTGCATGGGAAGTGGAGCAGCCAGGACTTGAACCAGTGCCCATGGGATTCTGGTGCATGCGAGGTAAAGATTTAGCCACTGAGCCACCACACAGGACCCAGCTTTAATATTTCTACATCCTCACTTCTTTTCTGCTCCCTGCCTCTATACTTGGCAAACGGAGAGGAGAATAAACTGGACACCATTTCTGATGCCTCCTTGTCACTCCTTCACCCAATCAACAACTAAGTTCTTCACATTTCTACCTCCTAAAAATCTCATGAGTTGATCCATTGCTCTCCATTCTGATTGTTCCCAGTTTTGGCCCTACCACCACTGTCTCTCACATGACCTGTAGCAACAGCATCTTAACTGGTACTCTCTGATCTAGATTTGCCTTCTTCCCATTCCTTCTCTACACTGCAGGCCAAGTTTTCTCTCTGACATTAAGCTCAACCATATCAATCTATACTTAAAACACTTCCATGATCTCAATGGTTTCATAACACTGTCTCAGTCTCTCCATAACTTTGTTTCTTGTGTTATCTTTCTGTGCAATGCTCCTAATCTAACTCTTCGCTGTTTAATTAGCAGTGTTGAACTGATTTCAGTTTTAGGATTATGCCAAATTTTCTCATAGAGAACACTGTATTAAGGGCCAGAGCAATAGCCTAGTGGTTAAAGTCCTTGCCTTGCATGCATTGGGATCCTATATGGACACCAGTTCATATTCTGGCTGCTCCACTTCCCATCCAGCTCACTGCTTATGGCCTGGCAAAGCAGTCAAGGATGGCCCAAAGCCTTGGGACCCTGCACCCATGTGGGAGACCTGGAAGAAGCCCCTGGCTCCTGGCTTCAGATCAGCTCAGCTCTGGGCATTGTGGCCTTTTGGGGAGTAAACTAGCATATGGAAGATCTTTCTGTCTGTTTCTTCTCTCTGGAAATCTGCCTATCCAATAAAAAGTAAATAAGTCTTAAAAAAAAAAAGTGAGAGAGAACACTATACTTTACCCAGAAACTCTTCCAACCTTGAAAACGCAGACATTTATTTAAATATAAATTGCTTTGAAATAATCCCAGACTTCAGACTACATCTGTGCAAACTCTCATAAAGGTTGCGGCAAGAGATGATAATAAGTTATGTCAGCCAATTGGACAAACTTAGAAATATGTCCTAAGAATAAGCAGAGCTATAAGTACCTTTAGAACGGGCATTTAAATGTCAGTTTTGAGGTCAGATGTGAAGTACATAGGCATTTACAATACAGAATTCCTGGAAGGAGCTCAATATATATCATCTATAATTTACTGAATGAATGTTCATGAAATAGCAACTATCTGATAGATAGTGTGGCAGATTCTGCAACTGGAGAAGTAAAATACAAATCAAACAATAAAATTTCTAGAATGAATGCTTAAGGTCTAAAACAGAAAAGTAGTAGTATCCGGAGGAGCTGATCAGCCTTCTCCAGACCCAAAAGCTGGGCAACATTTGGATTCATCCATGCAGGAATAGAAGGATGCAAGGAGGGGCTTTCAGGGAGAGAGGCTGCTCTGTGCCAGCACTTGGGCATGAACGGGTATAGGTTGTCTTGCATTGCACAGAACTGAATATCGCATTGAAATGGCACGGGATGAATGATCCGGTGCTGCACAGAATAGGAACTAGCAGGTAAGGAGAAGTGAAACCAGTAAGGGAAGTACAGTGTCTGACATCTCGGGGAAAGTCATTAGATCTTTACTGACGGCCTTTGAGGAATTTGTAGCAAAGCAATGTCATTAGCAAATTTACACTGGTAGTGAGTCACTCTGGTAGCAGTTGGTAGTTACACAATCAGTTAGCAGGCATGTCAAATCCTAGTGGGAAGGGTGGAGGGCTGGCATGAGAGTTGCAATTGAGAAGGCTGGGCCGTTCACCGGGATTGGTAGAGAATGGGCTGCATTTCAGATGCTCTGTAGGCATCTCACTATACCACGTGGTGGAAAGCGGCAGGTGCAAGAGACTAAAACGAGACGGAACCTAGAAGGGGAGTAGGTGTGTCACACAGGACATTAGCCTGTGCGAAAGGGGCAAATAAAAAGTTCACGCAGAAAGGAGGAAAATCTGGCAATAAAACCTTGGGAGGAAATTCATTAATTTCACCTCGAGAAAACCATTTGCACAGCAATATGTCCCCCTACCAAAAAAAGGGGGGAGGGGAGGGGGAAAACAGAAAGGGACCCCGACTCCACACTAACTCTGATGTGACTTGGCTGAGTTACCCATCTCAGCTGTACCGCCTCATTCAATGTTGCTAGCCTGCTTAGCGCGGCTCTGTCTTGCATCTGAAATTCTCTGTATGGGGGACAAGAATTTGTGCCAGCCATATCCAGTACCACCTTCAGAGTGAAAAAATGTCCAGCTTGGTAAAGCGTCTCCTTTCCTCCTAGGGTTTGGAGAAGCAAAACTGGCATGTAATTTTGTAAGATGTGGTGATGCCAGCGAGAATGGAGAGGCCGGCCTGGAGAGAAATGCACAAAACTCGCTTGCTACACAAACGAAGCAACAGGTTCCAGCGCGCGGCTGTCACTGAGGAAAACCGCCTCTCAGTCCGGGAGGACGAGGAAGGCGCCGGGGACTTTTTCTATCTCCTGGTGACTCACCCCCCTAAAGATGGCGTCTGTGGCACAAACGAGGAAAGTGGGAGGGGGCATCATTAGGTTTGGAAAAGATGGCGTTTTGAAGTTTTCTTCTGCTTTCAAGGCACAGTGAGACAGCCTAGCGCTAGCAGCGCGTGCAGACGCTTTTCCCGAGGGCTGTGGAGTACAATTCCTCATTCTCCAAGCGTTTTCCGTGTGGTTCGCACTGTGGGCGCGAACGCGTGGCGGCTGACAAATCGCCCACTCGGCTTCCTCGCTTCATTCATTCACGTCTCCCATCTTTGGCGGCCTCCCAGACCGTCCGGTTTGGCCCATTTCTTTGTTCCCGAGCTTTGCTACTGTCCCAGGGCGCCAAGAGCTTCCCTCGGGAGGGAGGGCAGGGACGGGCTCGGGTTCTGTGGTGACACCCGCGCTTTCCGGCTTCGCGTGGACGAGCGACCCTTGAACTCCGCCCCGTCGCGGGGGCGTGGCTCCCGGGCGCGTGTCCGCCGGCAGGCTGAGGGGCGCGCGCCCCCTCGCCGGGAGCCGCATTGCAGCAGCTCCCGGCAGAGGCCGAGAGGGGCCGGGGGCGTGGCCGGGGGCGTGGCCGCCGACCCGAGGCGCCCAGGCAGGGCTTCGGTCCCGGCCCGAAGCGGGGCTGCAGCGGTCGCCATGGGAACGGCGGCGTAGGCAGGCGCTGACGTCAGGCGGCGGCGCGCTGCCCGCACTGCGGCACCCGGCCCACTCCGGGAGCCGAGGTGGCTGGCGGCCCTCGGGGTGGCACCTCCGCCCCACTCCCGGCCCTGCCTGCTCGGCGACCGGATCCCGCTTCGCAGCGCCTCGGGTGTCGGCTCGGCGGGGTGAGTGCCGTGTGGGTGTGCTGCGAGTGAGAACCCGGGTCCGGGTCCCCTGGAGGGGACGCAGCATTGGGGGGCTGCTGGGAGCCTGGAGCACAGTGGACCCCCTTGGCGCCTCCGCAGGCCAAGCGCGGCCAGGGGAGGGTGCACTCCTTGGACTGCTTCTGGACTTTTCGTGCTGCTCCGGCTTCGCAGCCCCGGTTCCTCCTGTTCAGATGGCTGAAAATCACACGCGTGCTAAGTGTGTTTATTTCCTTTTAGAGTGTCAGCCAGGGGCTGAACGTTGAGTCTGGGACGTACCCTCTTAATTACACGCAGGAAAGGTGAGAGGGCCTTAGGATCGTGGGAGTCCAGTTGTGTTAGGGTCCTTTGGATAAGCTTAACAGCAATCGGGGGAGACCCCACCGATGTGGTTGTTCTGTGTGTCCGCGTTAGCTGGGAAGGCATCTCGTGCGGATAGGACTTTTCCTGCTTTGGAGAGAGATGCCAACAGTTCCTTCACCTGTTGCGTTGAAGATCCCTGCTGCTGCAGCCCGGGCTTTTGGGAAGAAAAGCGCTTGCTGGGGGAGGATTCCGGGACATTTTTACAAGAGTGTTTGTAAGCAATTCAGATGCCAGGGATGTTTTAAACCATGTACGTTATTATTGCTTTATTAATTGAATAGGTAAAAAGCATTTTTGTTTCCTTTCTCCCTGGTGTAAATGTGGTGGAGGGAAGGAATTTAACAGCATTTCTGCTTTTTCTATCCTTGATCTTTAGCCCATATTGCCTGATGACCAGGTGGTCAGGGACAAGGAGGAAAGGGAACCTGGTTTAAATTTTTGCTGCGCAGTGTCATTTAGAAGCTGCTGCAAAAGGTTTGTGGGGGAGACATTTCAAAATCAGGATGTAGTGTGAAACTTGGGTATGGCTTTTTCAGTCAGCTCTTCACTTTTGAAGACCTTAAGTAGTCAAATATTAGTCATTCATTCTTTAACGTGTGTGTTGTGTGTAGTGCTCATTAACACTTAGAGATGATTATTTTGGTAATATCTTTGTAATTAAATAATAGTGTTTATTATTTCAGTGGTAGATCAAAATAGGAAATGGTGGTAAATATAATTTACTCATTTTATTTTTTACATATTTTCAATTAATTTAGGCAAACTGGCACTCTGTTGTTTTCTGGTATTTTCTCCTTACAATAAAGTGGGTGCCATTTTAGTTTCTCACGCAGGAGGAAAACCACGGCTCAATGGAGTTAGCTTGCCCAAGGCCTCAGACAAGTAGCAGGGCAAGAGGACAAGAGCTCAACTTTTTTTTTTTTTGCTTCCTAGAGCCAGTATTGCTGTCTTTTATATGTAGGTGAAGATAATCCAGACCTGGTCCTCCAAGAGCCAGTAGTGGAGGGCTGAGGGGCAGTGATGGATTCTAGAACCTTCTGTCAGAGTGAAAACACAGGGTTGAGGTATAGGAAAGCATGAAGATCCCAGCACCCAGGGGGTGCAGACCCCTGCCCTTTGAGGTGAAGGTGCTCTCCTGGAAGAGTACCATTGGCATGTAGGGTCACTGTCAAAAGCAGGAGGATACTTCTCAGGAGAGAAGAATATGCGTGTTAGGATTTAGAGGCACATGGGAGGGCGTGCACGTGGTTTCCCATGGCCAGAGCCCAGAATGTGTGTGGAGCTATAGCCTGAGGGGGTCAAGGCATTAATAGTAAGCTTGTATCCCTGTGAGAAGGACTTGATGTGTTTTCTACTGGTCATTTGGGAGCTTAGGAAACATTTTCAAAACTAAAATGGCACTATCACATTTATGTTTTAAAAAATTATCCTGGTTGCAATCTCTCTCTATATATGCATATATATGTATATGTGTGTGTATATATATGTGTGTGTGTGTATATATATATATATAAGATTTATTATTTTTGTTGGAAAGGCAGAGAGGAGAAGAGACAAAGAGGAAGATCTTCCATCTGCTAATTCACTCCCGAAGCAACCACAAGGGCTGGGGCTGAGCCAATTTCGAAACCAGGAGCCAGAAGTTTCCTCCAGGTCCTCCACACGGGTGCAGGGTCCCAAGGCTTTGGGCTGTCCTCAGTTGCTTTTCCCAGGCCACAAACAGGGAGCTGAATGGAAAGTGAGGCCACCAGAATACGAACCAGTGCTCATATGGGATCCCAGCATGTGTAAGACAAGGACTTAAACTGCTAGGCTAATGTGCCGGGCCCAAGGATCATATATCTTTTTAAAGATTTATTTATTTTTAGTTGAAACACAGATTTGCAGAGAAAGAATATTCCATCTGTTGCTTCACTCACCAACTGGTCACAACAGTTGGAGTTGGGCCATTTCAAAGCCAGGAGCCTGGAGATTGTTCTGTGTCTCCCATGTGAATGCAGAGACCTAAAGAATTGGGCTATCCTCCATTGATTTCCCAGGCACATTAGCACAGAGCTGGATCAGAAGTGGAGCAGCTTGGATTTGAGCCAGTGACAGTGTGGGAAGCAAGCCCTACAGGCAGTGACTTAACCTTCTATGCCACAGTGCCAGCCTGAGGATCATATATTTTCCTAAAAAGGGGAGCGTTGTAGGAGGCCTGAAAGCAGTCTTTAGCAAGCATCTGTATCCTTCCAGTCTTTTTTGTTCCTTACAGTTCCTGCCTCATGTTGTTGCCATTGGAGTGGGAAGACCAAAGGAAGCAAAATTCTAGAAAGAACTGACCACATTCCTTTTCAGCAGGTGCGGCCTCTCATTCCTGCGTGGCCTTTCATTCCTGAGCCTGTGGCCCCTTCTGCCTGCCCCTCTGTAAACAGCTTTGGCACATGGGGCTTCCTGGTTATAAATCCAGTGGGTACTCAGAATGTGCGGTCGCTGTTGACACCAGGCATTTTAGACCTCACTCTCTGAAAATTCTTTTTCCTTCCGCGGTGCTTCTCTCCCAATTTTTCTCCCTTTTTCCTATTCTAGAATTCTGTCTTGGGCTGTTTAATTTTTATCCAACCATGATAAGAGTATAAGTTATTTCTGAACAATCAGCCTGAGTCTTGTATTGGAATAATGTATTTTCTTGCCTACCAAACATCATTATATATGTAATATCTCTCTCTCTCTCTCTCTCACACACACACACACACACACACACACAGTGAAATACCTCTTTTTGGGTGTGTGAAGTGTTTGTCGTTCTGTAAGCTTTATGCCAAATACATTCCTTGCTTATTGTTATTTAACCTTTATAAAACTGAGTGGATGATATTGTTATTCTCTTTTAAAAGGGGAGGAAATAGATGTCTTTGGAGAGTAATCTTTTGGTGAAGCTGGGATTTGAACCAGGCACCTGATGGTGGAGTTGATGCTTATAGCTGCTCAGTGCCTCCCAGACACACAGCTTATCCTACCTTCCCCAAACTAAGCTCTCAGTCCCCCTGGGAAGTTCCTGTTATAATTGTAGCTGATATTTACCAGTGCTTCTTCTAAGATACTGCTTGAAATCATCTAGCGACCCTGTGAATAGACAGGCTGGATTTGCAGGTGACGAGACTGTGTGCCCAAAGACCCACAGTAACCATGGAGATTAATTGTAGGACTTGGTTTCTAAACTACTCCTCTGTACTGCATTAGATTACAGCCAATAGTGCTGCTGCTCTTATTCTAGTTCCAGAAACAGAAATCATCCTCATTTTGTCTCCTGCACTTTATAATCTAATTTTTTAATTCCATATCAATTTTGTGCTCAAAACAGGTAGTACCCAATGCATCCAAGCCTTTTCTTGATGACTCATAATTCAGCTGTCTTGAATATTGCAGGACCATAGTATAATACAGAGATGGAATTTTCACTCACTATACATTTATACATGTATATATACACACATATTTTTTTTTCTACTCTGAGGTAATGATTCTGCCATTAACTTTGTCTTTTGGTGTAGATTAGGAAGTAGCTGACCAAAAACAGGTCCAATAAATTCAGACTGCTGTCAGTAACCTTCAGGAGAAATCTTTACCATGTGACTTTAATGATGTTTATTGTTCTTCAACTAGTTGTTGCATAAGGTAACTCACATATTAGGTATTATTTTATAATCATCTTTTTAATTTTAGCATTTCTTCTCAAGACTTTGTTGTCAGAGGACCAAGAATGTGGGTCCCCAGGGAACTGCAGCATTAGCTTATAATGCCTGGGACAGCTCAGAATACTTTTATATAATCTTTAGTCCTTTTTTAAAGATAAATAAATAAATAAATATTTATTTGGAAGGTAGAATCAGAGAAAGTGAGGGAGAGATAAACCTCAAATAGTTGTACCATTCAGGGCTGGGCCTGGCTGAAACCAGACACCAGGAGCTTCCTCTAAGTCTCCTGTGTGGTGTGGGAGCACAAGAACTTGGGCCGTCTTCTGCTACTTTCCCAGAAGCATTAAGAGGGAGCTGGATCGGAAGTGGGGCAGCCAGGACTCAAACCAGCACCTGTATCAACTGCTGGCATTGCATTGAAGGCAGTGGCTTAACGTGCTATGCCACAGACCTGACCCCCCAGTTTTATTCTTTTTTTTTTTTTTTAAGATTTATTTATTTTTATTACAAAGTCAGATATACAGAGAGGAGGAGAGACTGAGAGGAAGATCCTCTGTCCGATAATTCACTTCCCAAGTGAGCGCAACGGCCAGTACTGCGCCGATCCAAAGCCGGGAACCAGGAACCTCTTCCGAGTATCGCACGCAAGTGCAGGGTCCCAAAGCATTGGGCCATCCTAACTGCTTTCCCAGGCCACAAGCAGGGAGCTGGATGGGAAGTGGAGATGCCGGGATTAGAGCTGGCGTCCACATGGGATCCTGGCGCGTTCAAGGCGAGAACATTAGCTGCTAGGCCACGCCTCCAGGCCCTGGTTTTATTCTTAAAAAGTATACATTAAGGGCGAGTGTGATGATTCAACAGACTAATCCTCTGTCTTGCAGTTCTGGCATCCCACATAGGAACTGCTTTGTGTCTGGGCTATTCCACTTGCAACAAACTCCCTGCTTATGACCTGGGGAAGCAATGGAGGATGGCCCAAGACCTTAGGCCTCTGTATCTGTATGAGACCTGGAGGAAGCTTGTGGTTCCTGGCTTCAGATCCACTCAGATGTGGCCATTGAGGCCATTTTTGGAGGGAACTATTGGATTGGTGGTCGGTGTCTCTCTCTCTCTCTCTCTCTCTTTCTTCCTCTCTCACTCTCTTTCTCCTTCTCTCTGTTAATCTGCCATTCAAATTAAATAAATAAACAATTTTTTAAAATACACATTGTAGAGCCCGGCATGATAGCCTGGCGGCTAAAGTCCTCACCTTGAACACTCCAGGGTCCCATTTGGGCGCTGTTCTAATCCTGATAGCCCCACTTCCCATTCGTCTCCCTGTTTGTTGCCTGGGAAAGCATTCAAGCACAGCCCAAAGCGTTGGGACTCTTCACCCATGTGGATGACCTGGAGAAGGCTCTGGATTCCTGGCTTCAGATTGACTCAGTTCGAGCCATTGCAGCCACTTGGGGAGTGAACCACCAGACAGAAGATCTTCCTCTCTGGCTTTCCTCCTCTGTCTATCTGCCTTTCCAATAAATATAAATAAAATCTTTTAAAAAATACACATTGTATTCTAACATGGAAATAAGTTTGTTCATTTTAGATACATATTCTCATCTTTAAATAAAATTTGCCATTCAGGAATGTGCATACTGAACATATCCCTGGTTGTGAGTAACCCGCGGTGGTGCAAATACTTGTGCTAGCCTTTCCTGCTGCGGTGGATTTTCCCAGGCAGCTGCACAGCTACTTACATCCCTTACCTGCAGGGATGCTGCCTGCAGGTGCACTTTGCTAGTGTAATTGGTGTGTTCTAGGAAATGAGCGGTAGAGAGAGACTTCGGTTTCTCAGAAGCGAATTAAAATGTTTGTTAGCCAATTACAACATTTCTAAGAATTTATTAACACACAAAGTTGGCTGCTTACTGCTTTTTAAAAATTTGAGTTTAAAACTATTCAAATAGGAATGAGTTTGGGTCATTTGATTTCAGGACCATCCTGATTCAGATACATGCGGGTCATTTTGCAGAAGATTGAATGAGAGAGCATAACTGTATTGGTATAAATCTGATGAAGTAGTGGACTCATTCAGTGGTATGATCTTGGTTTCAGGGTATTTTGTTTATGTTTTTTGAAAGTTCTGTATTACAAATGAATCCTTTGTTTTGATAGGATACTGATTGAGTCAGCGTTTACATTGGTTCCTGATGATTGCCATACAGCTGAGATATGCCTGCTGGTAAGATTTCATTAAATTTCTATAATTCATACTTTATTTTTGTTTGCTTTATCCTAAGATGTTCTTTAACAAATTAATGAATAAAGTAGATATCATTGACCAAGTGGTAGAGATATTTAATAATTTGCTGTTCAGTTTTTCTGTTTAACATTGGGGATTAAGGTATATTCAGTGAGTGGTCATTTGGGACACAGCTGGAAAAGGCAAATAATAATTATGGCATACAGTTAACTGAATTCTTCCTCATCCAGACTGTATGCTTCATGCTAAGGTAGGAATTGGCAAAGTGTAATGGGTCAGCTGCTGAATATTTAGGCTTGGGCTTCACAGACAGCTCTGATCTCAAAGCAGCTATAAAGACTGAAGCGAATAGATGTGTTTAATTTCCATAAAACTTTACAGAAACAAGTAACTGGCCCACAGGCCAGCACCACTTCTGGGGTATTTATTCATTTGATATATTTTCTGTTTAAAAATATTTATCACTATAAAAACAGATGTCAAGTAAGATGATACTATTCGTTCTTTTAAAACATATTTGCTATTTATTTTATGCCAGACCTAGTGACAGTAGTTGAGAGTGTGGACATGAACCACATAGCATAGTGGGGAAGACAGAGAATTTGCCTGTTTATGTAGCTATGAAATAGTTACATGGTATTTTTTTAGTTGGGTTAAGTGCTGTGAAGGAAGAGAACAGCTTGATACGCAGAAAACAGGAACATTTAGATGAGATTTTCAAGAATTTTTCCACCTTAGAGGCAACACTGAAACGGGTCACTGAACCTAGACAGATAAGGGTGTAGAGGAGATGTGCATCAGATAGAAGCCCCTTCACACAGGAAGAGAAGCCACAAGAAGAGCAGTGTGGCCAGAGCACAGGTGACTAAGGGGATGTTGGGCTTGACTGGAAACTGCAGAGGTGGACAGAGCCCTGTGGGCCATGCTATGGGCTTGTTTTCTCCATCCTAAGTACAATGGGAACCCAAAAATTGTAAGCAGGGAGATGATATACTCTGATTTAAGTTTTAAAGCAAGAAATAACTTTTATCATTTGTTGATGTTGACTGCAGACAAGGCCACTGGTGGTAATTTTCATGTAAAATGAGAGGATTAGTGTGATTTTGTGGTTAAAAAAAAAAAAGATGGAGTTCAGTTAAGGTAAGTTGTCTAAGGCCTCATAGCTGACGTCACCACATCACCATACAGAAGAAGTAGAATGTTAACTTAGCAAAAGAACTTTTTTTTTTTTTGGAAGGAGTGGCCAAAAAGTATTAAGACTGTATTAAGACTACAGGTGAGTATGGTATAACCAAGGCCAAAAGAAGAGGTATTTTAAAAAGAGGGTCTGGCCTGCTGATGTGCTGTAACTATACAACTATAGGATTTAACACAGGTATCATAAGACTGTATTCCTTGACATTAAGGAAGAGTAATTCAGATTTGTGTTGGAATGAGGCCATTTAGAAGATTGACGAGTATTTATTGTTTTGTAGTTGAGAGTGAAGCCAAAGTAAAAACCAAAGTTCGCTTTGAAGAACTGCTGAAGACCCACAGTGATCTAATCCGTGAAAGAAAAAGACTGAAGAAAAAACTTGCCAAATCTAAAGAAAACATTTCAGTGAGTAATTAATCATTTGGTCCTTTACCAGTAATCTAAGGAACCTTGTAAGTTTCAAGCATCAGTTCTGTTTCATGGGTCAGAAACTTGTGGTAAAGTTGACATTACAATCAGAATCAGTTTTGGAGTATTGAGTTAAGCCTTGAATGCTATCCTACTGGAACAGCGTAGACACACTATTTAGAGTGACCAGGGGTCACGGAGAGACCCAAGGCCAGCCAGATTATAATCTCTTTTTTTGAGAATATCAATATTCTTAACTTAGAATTGTGAAGAACTTAGGAATTAATATCTTACTTCAGATATGCAGTGGTTTGCCTTTATATAGACTTGTTCTGTCATCCCACCCAACCAAGATAAACCAATTGCTTTCAGGCAGTAAATATCCTTTTGTTCTTGCAGTACACTTTTAAATGATAGAATTTTTGGCAGCACACTAATGGAATTAAAAATAAAGAACTGAAAGCCGTAGTAAACACTTCTGCAGCTAACCGCAGCCTGCTTGCCATGGCGTTGGCGACACTGTCCGTGTTAATGAGCTTTGCACCCTTCATTCCTACTTCACTATTTCAGTTGCACTTTTTACTCCTTTTACCATAATTTCATGCCCTCATATAAAAAAGTAAGTCCTCGTGTGGCCCCATAAATGGTACATAGCATTTCTTCAGCAGTTTCAGATATATGTCTTTTGTTTTGTTTTTTTCCCATTCTTTTCATGTGTTAAAACATGAGACCTATTCATTTTAATATTGTATCTGGGAATCACCAGAGTTATGCTTTATATTCTTCAGTGAAGCAAAAAGAAGTCTCAACATTGGCCAGAATGTAGCCCCATAGGTGAAGGTATAGCAACATACTAGCTGCACACCCATTTAGAACTGTTGATAGAATTTAGTGACCTAAGGTGGAATGTGTTTCTTCTGTGGTACCAGTATACAGTGCAGAAGGGAGGGTGGCATAAGGCAGAAGGAGGTTTACATGCTGGCATATGTTGTACCCTCAGTTGGGGTGGTTATGCTGTGCAATACCAGAAGAACCCTGGCAGTAATTTTCTGCTGAGTGTTTTCATGGACTCACTTGCCCAAAGAAAAACCTCATATTTTCTTTCACTGTAAAGACAACTGTGCTTTGTAATAAACAAAATACAGATAGGCAAATTCCTCTCTCTACAACTCTTTCAAGTAAATAAAGCTTAAAAAGGGCAGGGGGAAGGGACGGATAGGTCCCGGCGTGATAGCCTAGTAGCTAAAGTCCTCACCTTGACCGTGCCGGGATCCTATCCAGCTCCCTGCTTGTGTCCTGGGAAAGCAGTCGAGGACGCCCCAAATCCCTGGAACCCTGGAGCCATGTAGGAGACCCAGAGGAAACTCCTGGCTCCTGGCTTTAGATCAGCTCAGCTCCAACTGATCACTTGGGGAGTAAATCAGTGGACAGAAGGTGTTTCTCTCTCCTCCTCTCTGTATATCTGACTTTCCAACAAAAATCAATAACTTTTTTTTAAAAGGGGGTTATGAAGTTTAAAAGCTGTGGAAATATAGAGAAGAATGCTAAGAAGTTTAAGAACTATTTCATTTCTGAAATAATGCTTAAAGAACAAAAGACAGAATATAGAAAACTTGAGATTAACCATTTGTTAAAGATACACTTTTCTTTTTATTAAAAAAATTACTTTTATCAAAAAGACAGATTTACAGAAGGAAGGAAAGACAGAGAGGTCTTTCATCTGCTGGTTCGCCCTGTGCATGGCTACTACAGCTGGAGCGGAGCTAATCTAATCCAAAGCCAGGAGCCTTATCTGGGTCTTCCATGTGGGCTCAGAGTCCCAAGGCATTAGACTGTGCACCACCACTTTCCCAGGCCATAGACAGGGATCAGTGGGAAGTGGAGCAGCCAAGACAAAAATTATCGCCCATATGGGATGTGGGCACTTGGGGGTGAAGGATTAGACAGTTGAACCAATATGCTGGACCAAAGGAAGATATCTCTTTCTAAATGCTTATTTTTGCTGTTGGCTACATAGTTGACATAGATGCATGCTCATGACTAGGATGGGAGGGTCAAGCTTTGGGGATAAGAAGGATGGGAGGGACAAGCTTTGGGGGAAGGAAGATGGGACAAATGCTTCCAATTTTCCCTTTTCTGGAAGATCTCTTTTTGTCTTAATTGTCCTTACAATTTTAGTAAATAAGCATGTCACAAACAGAATTTTTAAAATGCTACTTGTCCACATATCCGGCATTCCAGGTTCTATGCTAGGTGTTTCACATGCATTAAATCACCTGCTTCTCATTAGAATTCTGTGAAATCACTGCAGACAGGAGAAATCAAGCACTGTGTTGAGAAATCCTTCCGCAGGATTGTGTGCTTAATAATAGTGAATCCAGGGCCCGACAGCGTGGCCTTGCGGCTAAAATCCTCACCTTGAACGCCCTGGGATCCCATGTGGGCACCAGCTCTAATCCCGATGGCCCCGCTTACCATCCAGCTCCCTGCTTGTGGCCCGGGAAGGTGGTCGAGGACGGCCTAAAGCTTTGGGACCCTGCACTCGTGTGGGAGACCCGAAAGAGGTTCCTGGATTCTGGCTTCGGATCGGCATAGCATCGGCCATTGCGCTCACTTGGAGAGTGAATCATTGGACGGAGGATCTTCCTCTCAGTCTCTCCTCCTCTCTGTATATCTGACTTTCCAATAAATAAATAAATCTTTTAAAAAAAATAGTGAATCCAGGTGTCTCTGGTTTCACAGTGGTGTTCCTTATATGTGTGCTGCACTTTCTGCCTGGTAGGTTGATGTGTAATATGGGAAAGTATATGACTCTTAGGAAATTAAATGATCATTTTTGACATAGTCTGACTGCTATAGAAAAAATAGAAAACCTATGTGAACTGAACTTGAATAAGTGTATAAAAATCAGCTGTTACCGCTGGAAAACTCACAAGTTAGAAAATTTTAGAGAAAAAGTATGACAAACATATATGTCACAGCCATAGAAGCTATAAAAATCCTGTAAGATTTAAACAATGAATTTCCTAGAGTTCATATTTATATTGAAAGAAGCTTATGAATCTTACTAATAGATATGACAGAATACTATAATTTGTATATACCAGATCTTTTTAGATTTTTAGATTTAACAGAACTGTGAAAGTTTCCAGTGGTTGGCTTCTTTTTTTTTTTTCTTTCTTTCTTCCTTTTTTTTCTTTTTTCTTTTTTATATTGTTTACATAGTTGAGAGGGATGTATTTCCTTGTGAGTCTCTGATTAGGTCAGAAGGATAAAAGTATGGAAAAAGGTGGATAGGATAAATGTTTCAGTTCTCTCTCTCTCTCTCCTTTTTAAATTTTTTTTCCTCAGAGTAAACAGAGGCGGAAGGGAAGTGACTGCTCCTTGTTGTCCGAATGTATCAGTGCGCGGGGGTCAGGGTGGACATTCAGTAATACCTCAGGGACTCTAAAGTAAGGAAGAATGTTCTGAGGATGTTACTTGAGTGTTTCTGATAGTTTTGAGATGTCATCAACATCATTGCCCCAGGGCTGAAAAAAATGTTTCCAAGGTCTGTTGGCTGACTTAAGTCAGCCTTAGTGTATCCGCAGCCCCAGACACTTGCTGCAAAGCTTGTATAGGAGAGTAGTCCAACATGTTCTGATTTTCATCCTCCAAATAGATGCTTGGCATCCTCTGCTGACCTAGGTGAGCTGGCTGCCGTATCCCCCATGTGCATCTGGGCATACTGTCCACTACACAGGGATCAGCAACCAGCAGGCCCAGTCCTGATTTAGGCACTCCAAAGTCAGACCACACATAATGTGGTTTTCCCTGTGCCTGTATTCTGAATCCAGGGATCTAGCTGGGGAGTTACCCAAGGAACTTCATCTGAGATGACTCCGATTTGACTCTCTTGCACACCAGCCAGTGGAGGGTCAGGTTTGGTCCATCAGTCACACCAGCCAATACACTGCCCGTGGATGCGCTGCCTGAACAGTTCCACCCCCAGCCCCTTTCTCATGCCATCCCACAGGTGATGTGGCTATCCCAGTGCAGCTCACCATAGGTCTGGTCTTCATACACACCAGTTGATGCCACAGCCTTGTCAGAATGACTCGCAATAACACACCAAGCTATCCCCCAGCCTCAGTTTTTGCATGTATCAGCATGTGCTGCAACCTAGGCTGGCCTGTCCCACATCCTTTTCCATGGGTGCTGCGGTTTAGCTAAACCTTACCTGCCCCCAGACCTGGCCCGCATGTATGCTGGTAGGGGTTGTTACCTGGTCCAACCTGGCCTGCTACCAGCCGTGGTTCTCCTGCTCACCAGCATAGGTACAGTCTAGCAGGGGAGTGCCACAGTTCCCTACCAGGCCTGCTTCTTTCACTTGCCAAGTGATACTGTGGTAAAGCCTAACGTGACTCGCACCCAGTGGCAGCACTAGCCAGCCAGGGCTGTGCCCTAAATTGGCCAGCCTGTACCCATTCTAGTTCTTGTGCATGCAAATGGGTGTGGCAGCCTAATCCAACCTGGCCCACTCCCAGACTGAGCCCATATGCCAACTGACAGGTGCTATAGTCCTGCCCAGACCAGCCTTCCTCCTGTCCCACTCTTGACACTCATCAGTAGAACCAACTGCCTATCAGGAAAGTCCCTGAAGTTCCCCTTCCAGGCCTGCTCCCAGAACCTGGGTCTTGAGTGTGCTGGCATGTCTGGCATGGCCGGTGCCCACTCCTAGCATTCACCAGCAGGTACTGCAGCTTACATCAGCCCACTTGTCCTCGGTCCAGCTCTTTCCAGTGGACACAGCAGCCTGGCCCAGCCTGGTCACCTACAGCCCTAGCCCTCAAGTGAATTGGCAGGTGTTATGGCCCAAATCCAGCTTGGCCTGCACCCTGTCTTGGTTCTCATTTGTGTCAGTGTGTACCATGGACTGATCCAGCCTGTCCTGCCCCTAGACCTGATTCACACATATATTGTTGGGTGCTGCAGCTCTGCCTGGCCTGGCCTGCTTC